GGGAAGAAGGTGGCTCATCCATGGGTTGTGATGAGGACTCTGGGACTAAAGATGTCTCTTTAAGCATAGTCCCCTCATCAACCGGTTTGGATGAAGTAGCCTCAGCAGAGAATGATGGAGCAGGAGTTGTCGATGCCAAAGCCTTTGAAGGAGAGGCTGAGCTTTTCTGAAAAGTCCAAAAGATCATCAGCACACAGAAAAGTTTCAAATGTGGAAAAGTATACTTGTAAGTAAACCAATTTAATTACCTTCCTCCCGACGATAAGAGGGGCATCATCATCATCATCAACATCATCCTCCAGAATGGGAGATGCTGAGGCTGGCCGTTTTGCGGCTTGGAGCACTCTTGGCCATAGTAGGCTTGGCAGGGAGAGAAGAAGATGGACGAGCAGACTGTTTAGTACGACGAGAAGGAGAGGGGCTCCGAACAGACAAATGAGTGACCAAAACAGGAGGAGGAGAAGAAATGCTCGGTTGGTCTAATGAATGAAAGACACGATTGGCATCAGTCGCAAATAATCTGCGCTTCACCGACGGCCAGAGTTGTTCAAAAAGAGGGTGAATGACGTGGCTAGAATTGAAGGGGGCCAATGAAAAATGACTGGTTAAAAGAAGATTACGAGCATCTATAGCCTCTGCCTCCGCCTTAGTAATGGTATGAAAACGGTCAACTAAGTTCCTTGAATAGCAAGGAGGAACAGGCCAAGTTTGGTCAAAACCAAGCTGACGAGCAAAAAATTGGGGAGCATAAATCTCTACCCTCGCTTTGGCATTGGTCCCAGTTAGAATATCATGAAATAGCTCCCTCCCAGTTAAAAACTGGATCCAAATGAGCAAGGAGGTGCTCGCGTTATCTATAGTGGAAGGGAGATGTACATAGTTTGGAGTCAAAAAAGGAGGAAAAGGAAAAAAGGAATGAATTGAAACCAAAGAATAAAAGAATGAAAAAAATGTCCCTTCTAGACATATTTACAGGAGTTAAGGGCTCCATAGCTAGCCCATAACAGCTAGCAGAAGGGCGAGAAATGGATGGAGCACCAAGCGATGGAAAATAGGATCTCAACCACAGTTGAGTGAACCAAAGAGGTCCACTGCCAGTGGGAGATGCACCATTCTTCAATTGAGCTTGAAGAGAGGCCATGCCTCTATAAAGGGCAGCCAAAAACAAAGAACATAAATTCAAAGACCTGTCACGCGCCAATTTGTGAGCTATAGGTAAATAACTTAGAGAAGGCTTTATACTTGGCACGCACAAAACATATTTACAAAGCCAAACTAAAAGGAAGGCCACTCGCTCGGTATGGGTAGGCTCAGCGCTCGAATGATTGTGGAGGGTCTGCAGGCTTGAATAAGAATCGGTGTAGTTTCTACCAAACTTTGGGGCACCACCAGAAACTAAGATACCAGGAAAAATGGTATCGCCCAAAGGTGGCAGATTCACCAGGGCCCCAACATCCCTTAAGGTAATAGACATGGAGCCAAGAGGGAAAATAAAGGTGTTATACTCAGAAGACCAAAAACTCAAAGCAATTGAAAAGAGTGCTGAATCAAAAGTAGGAGGGCGGATAGAGATTTCCAACAAATCAGAAATCCTAACGCTATCAAAAAGTGTCTTAGTAGGACCATGACCCACAAGGCGAGCATGCCACCTACGAAAAGCCACATCAGATTTAGGCCAAGTGCGAATACCTCTTTCGTGAAGTGACCCCAACGGCAAAGAGTTTAGAAAAGGAGGGCGATGAGTGCAAGGAAACAGCTGACCCACCGCCGCCTGTTCAACTGCCTCCGCATTGTTGAAGAAAGGACCCAAGTAAAACTCATTACGTCCAACGTCGGCAGGCGCGAGAAAACTTGGGGTTATGTATGGGCGACTCAGAAGTCTCTGAAAGTCATCAAAACTAAAGGAATCGCTAGCTTGAGATTGTGAAGCAGCCATTGGAGAAGGAACGAAGCTTTTCAAGTTACATAACAGGGAAGCAAAAGATGAACAGCGAATCGTGAAAGAGACGCAAAAAATATGAGGCGTGGTTTGGTAGCAGTGAAATGGCGTGTTTGAGGTTTATAAGGGTTTGCAAAACGACGCACCTTTTCAAGTTATAGAAGGAAATAATGATTGAAATTCTTAGAAATTTCGAATGTTGCTGGAAACACAAAGTGAATATGGCAAAATTCAATAATTATTATTAATTCTGCCATATTGGGGGGTAATTGTTGACACATAAAAAATTCAGCCCAAATCGAACAGCCCAAGGAGTGAAGCCCAATTGGAGGATCCCCAAATCAGATAGCCCAAAGAACGAAGCCCAATCGAACAAATCAAGATGAAGGCCCAAATAAGGAGGCCCAAGAATGCGGTAACGCCATCGTCCAAGTTTGCAAGTTGCCCAGAATCTGAACGAATAGAGTGTTATACGATCGCCCAGAACTGTTACTTTATTCTCGCCCAAACCTTCAAGTCGCCCCAGGTATTAACAAACATAACGCGTCGTGGTTATCAAGAAGTGCAGTTATCAAAGCAGTTATTAAAGCAACCCTATCACGTTCCACGATTCAAGGAATTCAATCGAAAGCGATTGAACGATGAAAGGTAATGGCAGCAGTTAAAAGGCAGTTTTCATGACAAGGTGGCCATTACGAAGAAAGTGGGTAGTTATAGGACGATTAAGCAGTTTTTAGAGTAGTTGATCACAAAGAGATCGTCTATGAAGTATAAAAGGGAGAAAGGACATAGAAGCAAGGACCGAATCCAAAACTCTCGAACAGAGAACATGTAATTTTCAATTCCTTAGTTTTTAGATTTAAACACTTTTCTTTCAGTAACTCGTGTGCTTGCGCCCCTTGGAGGCACGTTGTCTTTCGTTTCCAATTGTAAAGTTCATCGTCAATAAAAGAACACCCCTTTTTGGGACTTAGTCCCAAGAGATTTCGTCCCTTACACAATCGTCTGATCCTTTTTAATTGTTAGGGACTAACCCGCGCAAAACAAAAATAAAAAGTTAACATAACAAATAAATTAAATGACAAAGAGAGAGAAAGAGAGAACGAAAAGTAAGCTTGAAAACGAGAAAAAAAAAATGACAAATGTATATAAAAAAAACTCTATACTTTGAAGAATACTAAACTTCTTTGTAACATTTTTCCCTCTCATCAAGGCATAGCCTGAAGGCGGTTGCCTACCCCCACCTGTAGTTATGGCTAACTCTATGACAAAAGGAATACAATTATTATTGATGATATCACAAAATCAATTTGTGCAATGTTTCTTTGGTAAAAATCAAAATTGATCTAAAGTACGTTTGCGTTGTTGGATTGGTCCAGGTATTTAAATATTCGAAACCATCTATTAACACTTCAAACATTTTGTAAATGGATCTATTTGGACAAACGTAATTACAAACTATTGGTCCAGATTCGAGTTTAATTCTATCCATAATATTTTTTTAAAAATCATGAGCTGGAAATACAAATTATTTTCTCAACATTTAGCAGAAATATAAGAAATAAAATATGTCACCAAATACATATTTTGACACTTTCTTAATTTTATGTGTGTGTGCGCACACAGACACTTAGGAAGTTTTAGATCCTACAAATGCTAAAAACAATATAAATTCATTCATTTTGAAATGGCATAACAATCGACATTGTCGACTTTCTTTCCCATCCCATCGTTTTTTTGCATCACATTGGGTCATTGAATCATTGATTAGGATGAACAAATTGTGAAAAAATAAAAAACTTATGAAAACGAATAAATTTGGTTCCATACCAAGTAACTACAGTTTCAATTCAACAACCAAGAACGTTCTAGACTTGATCGATACTCCGTTTTTGGTTCCCTTTTTTAAAAACTTGGACCAAAAGATTCAGTTCTAATTCAGGAGGTTCAATTTCAATTGAAATATTAATAAGACCGTGATGCCGCATTTCATAATAGTTCTATCAATAAGACTGTGATGCCGCATTTCATAATAGCATTCAAAAAATGCTCTAATAGAGGTGGATATCCCATTAGTAGTAGTAGTAGTCAGAAGAATGTTATCGAATGTGATACATAACATTCTACTAATGACTTAAATTGTTTTGCGATATCAATAAGAGAACACAAAATTGGGCTTCACTGATTTCCACGAAACATATAAGCACGTTTCAATTTTCAATTTGACTCTGTTTTCAGTGAAAGTGTGTTTCCTGAAATATCAAACCAAATAAGTTTTGAGCCTTTTGCAAATCAAAATTAGAAACAGCAAACCAAATCCACCTTAAACTTTCTACTCTTCAGTTGTCAATCCTTTAGTGGGGTGTCCATCCTGTTGAGGAAATCTCCGATTTTTAAACCAAGGCTGCTTTTGCTGTAATATTAATTACTAGGTGGATGCTAAATTCATAACAGAATATATGTTCCCTGCATGCCATCAATCAAGAAATACGCCTCAGATCAATTCAACTTGTAAAGAACAGAATCTTAGTTATAGTTCAATTAATTAGCAATAGCTTCTGCTACTACAAGAATAAATATAACAGAAGGTACTGACAGCTAAAATTGTCCTAGTCTTAAATACTACACAGATCCGACTGTTAGCTAGCTCGGCTATGCAAAGTCTCCATGTGCTTTGGGTACATTATTGGCTTAGCTTGCATGGCCTAACACCTGTACTTGTGCCCTTGATGGAACAAAGAATTGTGCAAGAAGTTAGGCTTAATATCAATTCATTATTACATTTCGATTTTATTTTAAAGTCGTACCCACTCATTTAGACATAATTACAATAAAAGAGTGCTACGTTTCATACTTGAGGGGAGGATTGAGTTGCACTTAAAATTATTATCGAAAGCGTGCTTAATCTACTTTCAACAATGTCTCTCCTCCGCCACTGCCTAAATTTCCAGCAAGAACAGTCACGATGAGTTTCTTGAGATTTGCAGGTCTAAAAATATATCTTTGCTAACAAAACAAAAACAAAAACAAAAATAAAAATGTTGGCAGACACATTTGCGAAAATTAGGTAAAAACTCAACTGCATTGTTATAAATTAAGGGAATGCTATTCCTAATACAGAATCCCAATAACACTTTTTTTCTTTTTCTTTTTCTTTTTTCATTTCATGCCATTCCCAGGTGTAGAAATAGCTAGATCTGGAAAGTTAAAACAATCCCCACCACCAACAAACCCATTCTCTCCACTATCAAGCTGCCACGTGTTACTGACCATTCCGACACTGCCACTAGTGTGCCCACCTTCTACAGCCCCAGGCAAGGGCCAGACTGCTCTTCCAAGCCCAAATCCCACGTCCTCGAGCCCAGACCCAATTCCAAGCCCAAACCCACCTAATGACAGAAGCCCAGTTCCCTGAGTATTCAACAATGAAGTGAAACTTCCACACATGGGCTTAGCATCAGTAACAAACGGCACGGCACCGCAGTGATCGGAGGCGAAAGGGAACAGAAGCTGAGAACTGTTGGCGGGCATGTGGTGGAAATCATGATGAACAGACGAAAAGGAACCTGAGCCGGTGGAAGTCACGGCGTTAGTGGTGGCAATGGCGGTGCGTGAACGTTTAGCATTCTTTCGGCTGCCACCGCCAACTGGAATGTCACGGAGGGTGCCACCGTGGGTCCAGTAGCGGCGGCATGACTTGCAGAAGTGACGGGGCTGAGAGTAGTTGTAGTTGTTGTAGTAGCAGAATTTGGTATTGGTGGAGTCGCAGCGTGGGCAAGGGAGGTGCTCCGGCTCCTGCGGTGGCGCACCCACTTGGCTTGACTTTGTAGCCTTCTTTTCACTCATATGATCTGTTGGCATTTTTCTACTTGGTTTTTCTCCTGTTGTGCAGAACAAAGACTTCAAAGCCGTTGAAGTTGAAAAGACGAGTGCCTGGTTAACAGAGAAGTGAACGAAAATGGAGGGTTTTGGGGGAATTATGAGAAGATGAAGAAGGGTTTTTATTATGGAGGGTTAGAGAGAGAAAGAGAGATCCTGTCTAGGGTTTATGGAAACAGTTTGTCTGAGTTCTGAGACTTATGAACAGCTTTTGCAGAGTTTTCTGTTAAGAGGTATGAATATTTTCAGTCGGCTCGAAAGCAGGCTTTGTCCTGAATGGGGGCTCTTGTTGGGGCTATAATGCATTAATACACGCCTTGAATATCCTGTTCTAATTATTCTTCACATTAGCTACTAGCTCAGCTTGTGCCTTTGTGACTTGGATTTCACATGGTTCTCATTTTGGTGGACATACTTTTTACGAGGGATTTTTCCATCTGTACATCGAGGTGGGTAAGAGCCCCCCTATTGTGAGGGGTCAGTACACCGAGGTGTCAATTTCAGTGTACACGTAGACAAATCCTTTACAAAATACCAATAAAATGATCAATGTTATTTAACATCATAGTACAAACATCAAATGGTTCTGATTTTGGTGGGCATACTTTTTACGGGCCTTTCAAAATTTAATCAGTAGAGTAATGTTATGTGACATCATAGTACAATAAGCATCTCGTTATGTAAAAATATGATTTGGATTTCGAACGTTTATGATCTTGATGGGCATACTTTTTACAAGCATTTTAAAATTTAAGGAACCCATCATTCGAGTAATATTATTTAACATGTAAAGATAAATTATCATATTAAAGAATGATACGCGAAGAACATGTGAGATTATGACGGGGGGTTATGATGACAGAGAGACTGAATTATGGTACTAAAATTCAGTGGGCTAGCACATAATTGATTTTTTCCACCTCAATTAGTGTAGAGTGGGACACAAAAGCAAAGCAAAAAAAAGGGAATCTTAACAAAATTTTCTTAATTCTTAAGAAAGATTAAAGAACATTCAGTCAATGTAAATAATTCTAATAAATATTTAACTGGTAGACAACTTTTCATTGTCAAGACAAAAATACGTAATGATAGATTTTTTTGTCGTGTTCTTGAAAACATGGCACAATTTTAACCTTATATCTTTGTTAGCAAGGATGAGCACATTTTACTTCATCTTAATGGATAAAGATACACTTATAAAAGTGCCTAAATATTAAATATATCGACAAACGTTTTTAATTTATAAATTTCTCGATTCAAAGTTTACACTGTTAAGATAGTTTTGTTCTCTCAATTACACACTGTGAGCGTGTAAGAACAGCGAAAAGATTGAGTGATAAGAATTAGGACAGACAATATCATGAATGTTGGAATAGCGTGGGAGTGCAATTATTGGATTGCTTCCCACTGATCCCGGGACCCGTCTTTTTCATTCCTCGCCTTCTGATTCTTATCCTTCTTCTCTAATTCCTTGCCGGATTTTACGCTCCACGGCTCCCCCACTTCTGCCCCCACAGTAAATTTCATATTCTCTACCATCATAACCCTTGGAACACAAACATGCACATTTTCTTTTTGTATTGCCTAATCCTAAGTTGGTTATCGATGAAACCTTTCCGGCCTAAGCATTGCTATTTGTAGGAAAGAAGGTCACGTAAGATCCTACTTAATTCGGAATGAAATTTATCGAGTCAAAAGGTTATCAAATGAATCATTATTACGCCGAATAATTTTCAAATAATGAGCTTTCATGTAATTCAAAAATTAAATTTTAATTAATAAGAAAATAAAAAGAATAATGATATTCATAGTGAGGATTATTGATAGTCCTCCTACATGGCAATATGTTATTTGATATATTAATAAAGTAGTTTTTTATGTGTAGGTCACGTAAAACGACTACCGGTAATCTTCCCTACGAATAAAATAAAAAAAATAAAAAACTACACCATTTAAAAATTAGAAAAATTTAGTTTGGCTCCATAACTTTTTAACGAGTGTCATTTTGATTTTTGAGCCTTAACTTTTAAAAGTGAAGTTATGGATCATCAACCTATTTAAATATTTTGAATAATTGTGGAAACAACCATCGGCAATCAACTTGGACAAAGTGAATTGGTTTTCATGTAATAATATCATCAACGAGGATGTTAAAGTAATACAAATTTCATCTGACTTCATAATTTGAAGTAAAATTGTCAAATCACTTAACGTCCAATTTTTTCAAGTGTGTAGAAGTCTGCTCGAATTTTCGCCAAATCTCAATAATTGAAGTGGTTGGCATGCTAAAGTTGAACGATGATTTGATATAAGAATTACCCCTTGTTTGAGCCCATTTTGTCAAGAATATATTTTTTCAAAACTTATTTTCAACCATATATTTTTTTAATAAAATATTTATATACATATTTTAAAAAAACTTCCTTACTTTTTAATCACACGTCATTCAAAAAATCATTATTCCATAATGTATTTTATCCGTAGAAATTTAGGCATAAAACTATATTATAAAATAAAGAGTACCGACAGACGAGACAGTGAGGTGGGGTGTGGATTGGGAGTAGCACGCCGGAGCGTACCATGGTGCTGCCATTGCTGCGGCAAATGCCAAATCCTGTTTAGTGTGTTGACTGACTTCACACTCTCCCTATCAATTGTCCCTTTCACTATTCGCCATTTGGCTTACACACGCCCTGTATGTTTGTTGATTTTCTAAGATTGTGCATACTTTTCTTTTTGTCTTCTTGTCCTCTCAAGAATACGATTCTTCTCTCTCTCCCCCTTCTTTGACTCTCTCTTCTTCCTCATTTGTGTACCCAAAATTTTGTAACGTCCCACTAAATTTTAACTTAATTTGTCGAAGTGTAGGTAAATATATTTTGTCAACTTTATCGAGATTAAAAGTGGAAATAGAGTTGATTTTTCAGCTTTTCTTAGATGTGTGAAAACGGATGAAAATTTGTACCTTTTTATATATATTTTTTTAAATTTAATGGGTCTGGCTGATCTCAAACAAGAATTAGAATTTGTTTGAGCTCCATTTCACTGTAAGGATGCATTTTAAAATAATAGATTGATGAAAAATGTGTGATTAAAATATAAAAATAAATTTATATTTGTATGTAATATTATTTTATTGAAAAATGTGTAGTTGAAAAGAAGAGAGAGAAAAATGTATTTTAAAAATAATGGAGATCAAACAAGGGCTTAATGTAAATTTACATCTAGCATGATGGCTTAAAATGGGATAATTAAACCTATTCTGAAAGGTTATTTTTAACTTATTTTTTCAATTCTATAGTTTAATGGCGTTTGGAATTAGAAGAAACTATGTTGTGTGGTCGCGATAGGGGTGGTAGTGGGCCGAGTCGAGCCGGCTCTGCTCGTTAACCCACGAGCTTGGCTCGGGCTCGGCTCATTGCTTGTGGGCGAGCTCGGCTCGGCCCACGAGCTCGTGTACTCACGAGCCACGAGCAACCCACGAGCTCGTGTACTCACGAGCTCGACGAGCCAAGCGGGCTCATCATTTGACGAGTCCGATCAACCCACGAGCCGAGTTTTGACGAGCCGAGCCGACGAGCCCGAGCCGACTCGGTCCATTTGACATCTCTAGGTCGCGAGCTTTTTGAAACAATATAATGAAGTTTTATTTCAATCTATGAATATGTGCAGAAGATAGGCCGCATTAGGTGATGTGAAATTGTACGTTCATGTGTATAACTTTACGAAGTAGGGCATGAATACTTCAAAATGATAATAAGAACTCTTTTTTGATACTATCAATTGAAAATAATTTGAACTAAGGGTCATGGCATGATTGTCACCTAGCAACCATGCAGTGAACCAGTGGTGGATTCACATTGATTCATGTCTGACTCAATAGAATTTTTTTGTACTTTTTCTATATCCTACATGATGCAAGATGGAAACATAAACAATAATAAAAGGTTCTTGCTCGTTACACACATACGCGTGTTGCACGAATTTCATTCGAACAAACATAAGAAATATTGGAATCCACCAATTAACGGAAAAAATTGAAATGTCTTATTAATGAAGAAAAACGAATATAATATTTTCACAACCACCTATCAATCTTGTTGAAGTTGCTGTCCCTATAAATTTGCCCCCAGTTTCGACCCCATTTTGTTCTCATGGTTGTCATACTAACTATGATGGTTACAAAGTCAAAGTGTAAATTCCTATTTTCAATGGGAGTTTAGATTTTGAGGCTTTCCTTGACTGGTTGAATAAGGTAAATATTTCTGAAAATCATAGAGGTTAACGAAGAACGTACGGTCACAATTATTACGTACAAACTTAAGGTAGGAGAAGGAGCCTGTGGCATAGTATTCTTGATGAATGTTACAAGCTGAGACAACCAAATAATGGACTGGATGATGATGAAAGAATTGTTGCAACACCGATTTTTCCCTAGACACTATGAGCAGGCCTTGTGCCGATAATTTTTGGATTGTAGACAGGGAAATCATTCGATGGTTGATTATGTTGAGAAGTTATTGACGCTGCAATCTCATGATGTAATGGAGGCTAATGATTATCAGATCGATAGTTTTGTAAGGGGATTAATGTATGAGATTCAGGACAAGATGGGGGTTTAGCCCATTTAATCATTAATAGATGCTATGGAGATGGTGTTCCAAGCCGAGTCACTGCTTGCACAGCAGTCATCACGGCGTCATCCTCCCACCGTATAGGAGATATTCAGATGATACAGTTCAATTGGCACTAGAAGGGTTGAGTCCTCCCCAAAACACCTGCACTCAGCAATTCAATGGAACCAAAGCGGGCAGTAGCCGAAGATAAGGCGATTGGTCGAACAGCAAACTATCCGTCCTAAGTCACTACAGCTTTTTATAAATAATAATATTTCATTAATCACTTTTATCTCAATATGAGGTTAGTTTCAATAAATGGCTACCACGTCATGTTATATTTAGTTGGCTCGTATTGATGGCTTCAACTATTTACGTGTTGTGCCATATTAATCTTTTCACTATCGAAAACCAATCATTTATATTATTTATGTCATTAGTAAGAAAATAAAAGGAAAAATAGTCACAAGAATCTATTTGTGACAATCACGCCATGGTGTGTTTACTAAACTTTCAAGTAGTTACTCTGGCTTTTTTCAATATTATTTTGATCATATAATAAAATCAAAAATTGTTACGCGTCAAAATTTTTCTCTTGTCAATTCATATCACTCGTTTTATGTTTTTTAAACAAGTAAAAGAAGAGATAAAATGAGGATAGGTGATCTAATTGGATTGTCAAATGGTGACTCACTCTCGCAATTTTGATAAGACTTAAAATCTTTAATCAATTAGTTGCATGTCTATCCATCTATCTTCTATGATTCTATGGTATCCGTTTGTTTTTCACAATAGATGGGGACAGGTCACCTAATTTTAGAAAATTGTCGGCACAGGGGAATCGCGCGTGTAAGGGCTGCAACGGCTAATACTCAAAAATAAAATTCACTGACTAATCAACATGCAAGCAATTTCATATTGTCAATTGTTGTAAAGTTTCTGTTTTTGAAAATAACAAAAAACATTTCGAGGTGGTTGTTTTGTATAACATATTCATTTTCGATGGTTCTAAAAACAAAATATTTAACATTTAAATCATCCTTATTAGAAAATGAAATTGAACTTTATTTTTAAAGCAGAAATGTTGGATGTTTGATATGTAATGCATTTGTAATATTCGAAAATCTCTTGTTTGCATTGCCTGATTATATATTAATAATTGCACACCCAAAAATGCCAGAAAAGCAAGTATTAACCACGTTATTTGTGTAATCCCTTTATGGAAAAAAATCAACAGATACTTGAGACTTGATTTTGAAATAGAGTGAACTAATAATTGTATCAACTTGGATGAGATATAGGAGTAGCTGATTCCATCTATGAACAGGGATACAGAGAAGGGGGATGCCATATCTGTGATATTTGGTCTAAATTTCTTTTATTAATCTAATTGGAGTAAACTAGGAGTCCAATGGAATATTTACTTGCGCGCTCTAGTGTACAATCCCCTCACATAAGGGGCTCGTGGTGATTAAAAAATTCTTGAACCGCTTTTAATGTGAAGGGGTTGTTGTGTAACTCTAGTGCAGATGTAACAATTCTCTAGGAGTGGATGAGAAGAACTTTCGAAGTTTAAGGACTTAAGTGAGGATTCCTTCCCAGATAATATTTTTGATAAAAATCTAATAAAAATTCAGTCTTTGCCTGCCTGTGTTCATATAATTAAAAGTAATTATAAATATTTAATTAAAATAAGCGTATATGAGTTTATGTCGAATCCAGATTATATTATAATACAGGGATCTATGAGAAGCTGGGGTGGATGTTTAGCAAAGCTTTAAAAATAAGTTAAATTACTTTTAACAAATTATATTGTTTCTCACTTTTTCTCCCCTCTGCACTTCCAATAAATGCGATGGCCGGCCAATACACAAATTGATAATGTTGGATATTGGTTAAATAAATCGAGAATTGAAAATCGATTAAAGTGACTTCGTATCGACTTCGGCCAAATACTCAAAAGTTCGACTCAATCCGTTTAGGCAAAATTGTTTGCCACTTCGAGGCGCATAAGCGGGGATCGACCTGCCCGATCATGTCGCGGGGGGTCGAGGGGGCAGCGCCCCCGAAAGAGAATTTTGATTTATCTGCATGTATTGAAGGGTATATTTGGAATTTCGAAAATCAATATCGGATGAATGAGAAATTACGAAAAATGACGAAAATCAGGTCAAAATATTTGACCGTGCGACCTCATGGTTGGTAAACCGCGCGATCACACGTCAAATTCAATTCCGATTTTTTGAGTAAAACCGTGCGGCCGCAAGGTTGTCCAGTGAATAGACACATTTTTATAAAGGTGTATTGTTTGGAAAGGGTGCATGGTTTGACCTCAACCATTTCGTCCATACCCTTTCATGGTCTATAAATAGGACCCTTTGGGTGTCCTATTCCTCACAATTTGATATGCAAAACATCTCTCATCCTCTCTTCTATCCAAAATCAAAATCATTTCATTTATTTTGATTTTCCTTCATTTCATCCTTGGAGTACATAACCCTAAATTTGGTTCGTTGTACTTGTGTTTTGGAGTGCTACAAACACAAGTGTAGCCGTTGTATCTTGGGAGTCGATTGCCGAAATCCATAGGCACCGTTGCGGGGCAAATTCGACTTAAGGACAAAGAGTCCAACTCTTGCCTCGACTTTGTCCCTACTTTCTTCTTCTTCTTGTTTGTGTTTTCTTTGCCGTTACTCTGTCCAATTTTCGGCACGGATTTACAAACCATCATTATACTTATTTTGGCGTCACTATTCACAAAATTCTTCCAAGAGATAATTGTGTGATCGAAATAATAAAGTTTTGGATTCCATAAAATTATATAATTAAAATTGTTGAATGAGTGACCCACCTCGTTGTTAAAGTTAATACTCGATTTGAGTCTGAAAAGTGGAAACTATAATCCATATTGTCGTATCTCGTTCTATATATAACACCTTTCATGGAAAAGAATAACCGCTAAATGACTTTATGGGGTTGTTTTTGCAATAGTGTTATGATGGAGAATGTATAGTTAAAAAATAAAGAAATATTTTGAATTTTCGTATAATATTATTTTATAAAATAATATGTGATTAAAATGGGTCAAATCACTGTTCAATAATACATTTTGATGAAAAAATGGAACTCAAACAAAATATATAAGTAGTTATAAGTATGCTATTTTTAGTCATTGATAAGCATGTTTACTTGAAGTGCATTTTTTACCAAAGTAGTTAGCACATCTCGTCTCACATACAAGTTTTCATTCAAATTCTGTCGAAAAGACGTAAAATGACTTATTTATGCATCATATTTAAATAAAATAATAATAAATGGAAAAGTGTGACAAAGTGTTTTTTTCTCATTCCAAAACTACATAAAAAATATATTAGCGAAAATCAGCGTCAAGATGAGATTTGTTAATTAATCAAATTTTAAATATGAGCGCTCGAGGAAAATTATATTTGTGCCCATTATAGTTCATTATGTAACAAAAGGTGGGTATATAATGCCATGCACACAATAACGTAGTCGCCTTGAACATTCTTTAATTTTGAATTTACGAGTACACAATAATTATGCTAGTGCTCAACAAAAGTATTGCAACGGCCAGAGGGATCTCCATTCAACTGCACACTAAATATACGAACATGGACAAAAGAGAAACAGAACATTCAAAGATTAACTAAGAATAAAAATACGTGTCCAAGAAACGATCAATTATTGAATCAGAGATCTCGGAGTTCTCGGATGTTCATTGGAGTTACATATTTTTTGTCCCCTTCGAGCAATTGTTTGGAAATAATAAGGTTAGCAGCCTCACTCGGGTGATAAGGATCCCAAAATACATGCTTGTCCCTGTCCGAACACATGCTAGATGTTGGCCCGCATGGAATTATCCCAGCAAACTGTCCTCCATTTCCACAGCATGCTCTACTCGCACTCGTAAATCCTGCATATATTTCAACAACAAAAGATTAATAACAAAAAAAAAGGTCGATTTTAAGTAATTTCACAACAAATTTAACTAGTTTGGCAGTCAATACTCACCATATTTAGCATAATTTGTAATGAGTTCCATCACAAGTTCGTAGACATTGGCATGCACAAAAGTGGCTCCTGGGAGATTCTCATTTAGTTCATGGACAAGATCCTTTAATCTGGCATTGTACTGAAGTGCCAACTTATTTGGTAATTCCACACACTCATTTTCATTCAACTGATTGATAGTTTTCTGATAGGGAATGCATCCAAGAGGCCCAACATTCCCAATTATAAATTTTCTTGCATCTAATTTGTAAAGTCTCTGCGATCAAAACGAAGCATTCAAGATCGTTGGCAGTTGACAAAAAATGGCATATTAAACAGACTATTGGAAGTTCGTCTATGAGTTTAAGATAAAAATCTTGTTTACTTACAGAAAGCTGTCCCCTTAGATGATTGAGCATATCATCAACAAAAGCATCTGGACTCTGAGAAATTCTTGCACCCACGGAAATTACTGGAAGAAGATAGTTATTGAGAAAATCATTGGATCCTATAGTAACGGAGAAAATTGATCTTCTTGTGACGTATTCTTTTGCTTTTGATGGACCTAACAATTTATCAATTTGTTTCCTAGTGATATTGAAGTAATCAACCTGGATATCCATTGATAGCCTGTTCACCTGTTAAACACATATGTTTAGCATAAAAAATAATTTATTTTCAATTAATACATTTAATAATCCTATTCTTACAAATATTCTTCCAGTTGCATTCATGATTCCACCACCTCCTGATGCATAATTAACCCCGTATAAGATATTTCTTCCAGTCGTGTTTGGGGCAAGAAATGGCATCGCATAGTGAGGTTGTCCCAATCCCTCGCCTACGAGAAAAAACAGAAAAAACTTTATCATTTCGATTCGTTTAAAGTAAAAATGAAGCTAATAACAAGCGAAACTTTACCAATGATGTCTCCAATGGTTCTTCCATTTGTATACCGGCCGGTAGGATTTCCTCCCGAGGCTTTAAAATCGATACCATTTGGGGGGATATTGGCCCTCGACAACGTTTGTAAATAATTGTTGTTTCCAGCATCTACTAACGAATCTCCGAAAATAAACGAAGCCCCCTTTTCTAAATCCTCTTGAGTTTGGCAAATTGCATAATTGCTCAAATTAATCGCCAGAACAACCAAAGCCAAAATGTGATTAAACTTGGATTCCATGGCTTTCATTAATTCTTGGCTGGCAAGATGGATGGCTATCTAACTAAGAAACAAATCCAGTAATGCCGCATATATAAATGTTTAGATTCAGAATATTGAAATTATCAAATAAGTAAAAAAAAGAATGCCTTTATTGGGAGAGGTGTGAAAGCGTAATTAAGTGGAATTGCATTTCGGGTTTGACCACTCAAATTTTAAAGGGTTTGGTTATGGGTGGATTTTCTGGGGTTAGGTCATCAACATTCAGTGTGCATGGACCTTGATCGATTACTTGTGATTCAAGCAAATTCAACCTTGTTAAAGTCGAAGAAAGAGTATCACCTATCTTATGAAATATTAAGTTATAGCCTAAACTTAGAAGGTGTTGGTGGTTGAGAAGTTAGATAGTTTTTGTGGAAGTTTTATTTCTTGCATGATGCTGCTGCCTATACAAGAATTGTTGGGAAACCTTTTTTTTTTTTTGTTAATACAATATGATACTTTCGTCATGTTGTTCCTGGAACAATTGTTTAATTAGATATTTAAGTTCTACCATTAACAAAGAAAGATAAATTGATGAAGATATAATATATAAGATTGGAGTGTAATAATTACCAGGTTTTCTTGTCGAGTCAATTCACTCTTTTAGTATGCGATTATTTGACACTTACTTGGTTTCGGTTGTTCCAAGATAAGGTTCGAAGTAGAAGTCCTAGAATTGAGAAGTGATATCATAATTTGAAATAATCAAATATTATAAAATGAAAGGTCAATTTAGAGAAGTTAACGATTAGACATGTTATATTTTATGGCACGGTTAGAATTATTAAATTACAAAATGCCCATACGATGAACATAGGAAAAATGACGAATTTAAAGTGGACGCCCTCATAGTAACATAGATATGTAAGAAATTGACAACCTAGTAGTTGAAGACGGGATGATTAGATAAAAAGACTCGATAACAAACTATAAGAATGTAAATATTTCTAGCCACGTATATCTCTGCAATGATGCAAATACTCTTGAAGTTATGGAATAGTAAACTTTAAATTTATTGAAGGTCATTGGAGAACAAAATCAGTCGGTGAAATCTACTAACAACAAACTGATTTTGTTGAACAACTTAATGTGAAATAGGAAATGTCATAAATTAGTAATTTCAATAAATAGTATAGAATGATGGTATATAACATCTTCTATAGTAATTATTTCGATACTTGAATCGTGAATAGTTTCTTTTCATTGATTTGCACTTTTTTAATGGAATGAGAGTGCGATTTAACAACTCAAAAGTATTATAATCTTTTTACATAAGATCTCGAATTTTATATTCTTGAATTGGTTGATATAACTCATTTAAGAAACGAGCTATGGAAGCTAGGCCCATCTAAGATTATGAAAACTCAAGGCTATAAGTTATTTAAAAATCCAATATTTAACACATTAAGTTTAAATAAATTTGATTACAAATATTTAATAAATAATTGAATTGCCATAATAGTTATCTGCATGGTATTTTACATAGGAAACTCATGTTCAAATGACCATGCAAATGTTTTTAAAAAATATTTTTATAAAAATATTTTGAGTTAAAAACTTCTTTTTTTGCACATTAAGAACAATTACATCAAATTCATTGGATGGAATAATTGTTTTATTAGTGGACATTCATAGAGATAAGATACGAATCATATGAATAGTTCATTTTTCTCTATTTTTCATTATATAAATGTTTTATACAACTTTTTATAAGAATTACTTTTTTATGGGTTTAAAACTCTTCAAATTCTTAGTTAAAAACTCAATTTAACAATGTTAATGATGATATAACTCTCCCATTTTGTTTTACCCTAAAAATGGAGGTTACAAGATGAAGAAAGTCACTTTTTCACTGTACATCTTCTCAAATACGAATTCACTCTTATTTTCTCTCAAAAATATATTTTATGTTAAGTTAAATTTAAAATAATAGCAAGGGTTCGAAGAATAAAAAGGTTTTTACACATTATGTTCTTTTATATTTCAAGAAAATTAAGATAGATGGTGCTAAATATTTTCCCTTTTTGTTCATTATGTGTATATATGTATGCATGAGATGTATTTTAGAATTTTTGAAGTTACGAATAAAGAAATTTATGTATGGCTATAATCGGTTTCTATGACCCCAATGGATTTTTCAGAATCATGAATTTACTGTATTCATCTACGTGAAATGTTATATTCCTATCACTTTGTATATATCTAACTTCTTTTAAAAAGGGGAACACAATGTTACTGTGGATGGAACAGTAAACTAATTCGAAAATACTGTACAAGAGAAGAAAATGACGTCATTTTTTGTACCTTTTTTTATTGTTTTCGGCTAATACCATACCGTTTCCATTTTTTCACTCCTATGACCGTTCCTCTACTCTTTTTCTGACTTGATGGAGGTGAAAGAAAACCATCAAGAAAATCAAACAACGACTACACCACCTTTTCTTCATCCTTCTACGATTTGGGTCGGCACTCCTTCTGCGATTTACTGCTTCCAAAAGCATCCGTTGAATTATTGTTTGTTGGGATTGTTCACTACTTCTGTTACTTTTATGGTGGCTTGACTTGTTCACCAGTGGTAAATGATTTCGTTCTCCATTCATTTATTTATTTCATGTCTTCTTTTATAAAAAATTGCTAATTGAGATAGAAATTTTGGATATCATCTTGTTATTGTAGTTATAAATTGTTGATTGGAGTATGAGTTGCAAAGAAATTCAGGAAGCCTTCTTTTAGTAGAAATGAACTTTAAGTTGTGGCTTTATGACAAAATTTCATATTGTCATCTCTTTGTGTCTCAAATAGGGTTGTAGGAGAGAAGAAAGATAAATGGTATAAAGTAGGAAAAAATAGATATTACGTAAATAAATAGAGAAAAGTAGGGAAAGCAGAGAGGAAAAAAATAATAAAAAAAATTACCGATAAGAAAAAAAAGAAAATCTCTCCACACATTCGCACTGTGCAGAGAGTTTTTTTTTTTTTTTTACTCCGCACCGTACGAAGAGTTTGCCAACTCTTCACACAGTGCAGTGAGATGACAAACATCTCTCCGTGCAGTTTTTTTTTATTTTTACTCCTCACTATGCAGAGTTTGCCAACTCTCCACATAATGCAGAGAGACAAACCATCTCTCCGTACTGTACAAAGAGTTTTTTTTCTCTCCGCACTGTACGGAGATTTTTTTTATTTTTTATTTTTATATATTACTCGTCACTATGCGAAGAGTTTGTCAACTCTCCACACATAGTTTGCCATCTCTTCGCACCGTATAAAGTTTTTTTTTTTTTTTGCTCATGGAAGTTTATATATACTAAAATTATTATTATTTTTTTAATGCTAATAGCATGATGTGTGGAAGAACATTTGTCTAACCATAAACAAAATGAAAAATAAAAAAATCAATTTTCTTTGCGCTAACAATAGAGAAAAACAGTCTCTTTAGGCATTGCACCTTTCAGTAATTAGGCTTGCCTTAAGTGCCTTTTAATGTCACATTATTGAGGCTACACATGTGATGAATTAAAACTAGTATTTTTTTTTGTTTCCCTTTATTTTGTGGTCTTACATCTCAAATTTGGACTCATCTCACATTTTGTTGTTGGATTCGAGTCTTGGCTTCTCTTCTCTGTATTTTGTGCTTAAGTACTATTTGAGTTGATTGATTCTTTTTATTTTTCGAGTTGTGCTAAATTACTGCTAATTCTTTTATTTTTTCATTTACTTCATACGAAGTATCATAAAAATAATCTATGAAACACATATCCCCTTTGTAGCAATTAGAAAACAATTAATTTCATAGTTCTAACTTATTTAATAATTTAAATGACGTAGCAGAAAAAAAAATTACAAGTGCTTAGCATAGTGCGGAGCACTCCACACAAAGTACTGAGTAACTCCGCAATTGCTCCGCATAGTGCGGAGCAGAGAAGCTCAAGAGACTCAGCACAGCACAGAGTCTTCCATACTGTACGGAGACTTAAATCTTCGCTTTTTTTACCTCTTTAAGCTAGCATGTGGGCTGTCGTTTCTTTTCTCCACTCAGCTATTTTTTGTGAATTTGCACCAAGTCACTCTCCTGAGTCTTCTCTAGGGTTTTGGAGAACTACACTGCGATTCCACCTCACCAATGGCTTCTTGGGGTAAGCTAATTTTCACATACATAACTATAATCAAGGAAACGTCAAGTAAAGCTAAAGAAAACTTGATTTCAGCATCTTAGGTAAATGGGTTTCTTCCTTTACTTGAATTTGTTGAATCCTGGATGTTGGTATTAAGTGGGTCCCATCAAATTTGTTGAATCCTAAAAGTTAGACTTCTCTTTAATTTCCTTCAAATTCATATAGCAATATTTTCATTTCCTAATTATATTGCTCTCGAAAAATGGAATTTCGAAAGGAATAATTACATGTGGGTAAATTTTGTTATCCATTCGCACTCTTTATAACTTGAATTTTTTATTCTTTTTGGATTGCACTTTCAATATTTCAGTGTGAAATTTGATGCGATAATGAGAAGCTAACATGTAAGGAGAGGTAGATGATTTTAATTATTTTCTTGTTCCTTAAGTAAAATTGAATCTTGAATATTTGGGGGTTTTTTTTATGGTCAAGGTTGTCTCTTTTCCCATGTTACACTTCATAGATTTTCAATTTTTAAGAAGAGGAAGATATTGATTTCGAGAAGAGAGAGAGGTTGGGCTTCTAAACTATATAGAATAATTATGTTGTTTTCCTTGGGCAAGATTATTGTTAACCCCTCTATTATTGAGATATTTTGCCAGTTCAGCTTAAATATCTTTGTTAGATAGGCTTTGGCGTGAATTTCTGGTTATCAATATGTTGTTTGTGTATTCTTTTTTCAAGTTTCCTCAAGGTTTTTGTTGAATTATGAGGTAAGGTTGAATTTTGGTTGTGGTATAAATTTCTTACCATGTTCGTGGGATCCTTAAAGTATGCTACATGGATTATGTCAATATAGACGAGGGTTTACGATATATGGGTTCAGATATATGCCCTTGTGAAGTAATGACTTGTTATAACATGGAATAAAAGTGGATGGATAGCAAAAAGAAACTGAGAAGGGAAGAATAATTTGTTTTCATATATGAGATTTGATATACAATTTAAGAATTAAATAATTATCAAACATTCTTCTAATACAATATTTTTTCTTTCTTGTAATTACCAAATTTTTATCGTGCTGGACAAAGATGGGAGGTTCAACATAGCAGGCCAGATGCAAGGCTTGAGTGAGATTAAAGACAAGGGGGACCTTGGTGCTTGTTATTGAAAAAGTAGTGGTGTTCTAGGGCTTGAACCTCTTATTGCACTTGAAATATTAGATGGCATAGTAATGGCTCTTTAGGTAGTGTTTAAGCCTATGCACTTTATCTATGAAGACACTACTAACCTGCACTTGCATTATAAATAGTTTGGACTTAAATTATTGGCAACCATCTTGATACAAAATTTAGGAGACAACAAGGAAGTAGTTATTCATTAGATTGTGATGTAAAGTGGAGTCATCTAGCCGTGGAAACAATGTTACTTCTGCTCCTCGATCTACCGAAGTAATTCAGGACTTAATACACACGCACACACGAAAGCATACACTAAATAATTTTATTAGTATATTAAATTATTTTTCTTCATTCTTAATTTAATTGATATGTAGCTTTTGAGGAGGCTTGAGTATAGAAGCAGCAATGAAAAGCAGGCTTAGGATGAAAGCAAGTCTGAGGAAAAATAAGCAAGTATTAAGGTTATTATAAGCTTTGTAAATATTCTTGTAAAATTTTAAGTTTTTTCTTCTATGCTAACTACATGCTTATGTCAAGCAATTAGAATCGAGTAGAATGAGGCTTCCTCAATTAAAATAAGAATTATAAAGAGCTAAATGCCAGGTGACAATTATTTTGGCATATCGCCTTTTTTTAATAACTATTGATAATATTATCTTCTTTCATTCTTGCATTATCTATAGTATGGTAAATCATTCTTCTAATAATATTTGCTTTTTACTATAGGTTTTATTTAAGTCGCAATTCTTTTTAGGAGATGATCAAAGTATTCCTTCTACTAACGTAAGCTTAGGTACTAATGGAATCGGTATTATCTAAGACTTTAGACTCGGGAAAAGTGGTGGTTAACAGGAATTATAATATTTACTAAAAGCTAAATTTTGAAGTTTATTTCTGCCTATAGATGATGTGGTTTTCAACACGGAATGGAGACTGTACAGCATATGTATACAATTCAGGTAACTCAATTGCCATAATTTTACTATATTGTACCTCAAGAAAAAATAAATCTGAATTCTGCCTTTGCTTATAGCATGTCCAAATATGTTTATACATACCCAAGATTTTTCACCACGTGCAACAAACTTGGTTAAGTATAGATTTCTTGTTTGCTGTTGAATTTTTTTGAAATGGTGTTAATAAATTTTTCACTTCAATTGTTTCCTAACTCCTCCAATATAATGCATGTGAAGCACAAAATCTACAATAATGCAATCAAATAAAAAATCGATCGAAGGCCAAATACTTTAGATACAGCAAGTTCTAAAAAATCTACAATCTTTACACTAATAAAAACACAATAAATACAATATTCGTGCAACGCACGTTCAACCACTAGTGTATATATGTTTATGACAAAAAAATGTACGCCATGTGATAGTAGTCATATTGAGCTTAAAGTTCATACCTTCCATGTTGATAATTTTTTTCAAATTAAGGGATTAGTTGAGGAAGTAGGATTTATGTGAATTGTGGAGATCTGAAGAGAGAAAGGTGCTTCATTTGTGTAGTTTCTAGTTCATCACATTTGAAGAGTTTCTAGTTCTTACGAGTTCTGCAACTTATGTTGAATGTTTAGAAAAAAAATGTTAGTTTATCTTTCTTTTAGAAAACATTAAATTGTTATTTAGTTTCATTATGCATATAATTAAAGTTGCTAAAGAAGTTAAGATTAAAAGTTAGACTTGTAAACAAAAATTTTCAATTTATTAGCTTGAATTTTGTCACTTCATTCTAGATGGAATTCTTTGAATTTTTGAACAAAATTAGTGAGGTTTCAAAGCCCTATGAGTCCTCTGTCCATTAGCTTTGGAATCAAGTCAATTGAAGGTCGACATGATAAGTTATATATCATTTTTTGTGTGCTATGTTCAGCATACTCAAGAATAGGTCTTTTCACATATTTCAGTGTTTATTGGAGTGCTTAAATGACCTTTGAAAATTCTAAAATATTATTATGTTGTACTTGAATGAGTTTAAAAAAATATTGTAAAATTTTTATAAAATTATGTGCTATGTTCAGGATACTCGAGAATAGTTTGAGTGTCTATTTAAATGCTTAAATGATCTTAAAAAAATCTAAAATTTTATTATGTTGTACTTGAATGAGTTTAGAAAATACTGTAAAATTTTTATAAAATTATGCATTCAATAAATGGTCCAACTAAGCTTATGAATCTAACTCTTTAATGCAAACTAAAATTCATTTGAACCCTCTATTTTAGTTTTGCTATTTAACAAATCAAAATTATCTACTTTAAATCTTTTGTTACCAATAAATTTTAGAACATGTAATAGAGTGCAAGGGTAACTACAAAGTTAAAAATAAAAAAATTAATTTAAACCGAATTTTTGAAAGAAACAATAGGAACATTATTGTTTTTGTACTAATTTCAAATTTCAAGTTCATTACATTTTATGGAAGTACATAGTTCTTTGTTCATATATAATTTTAATTTGTTACTTTTTTGTTGTTATTGTAACGCTTAGACCCCTTGTGGACCGGAACGCTACTTGCTTTACTTAACTAACCGGTGGTTTAGTTATAGAAGAATATGTTTTAGTGGAAGCTTAATTTTTACAATGATAATTTTAACAACAACCTTTCGAATACTTTAAATAAAACACTGAATAAAAAAATAACGGAACGTAATTTATTTGAAGAAAACACAACTTGTTCTTGCGTTCAACGTTATTCAAATACTTTAAAGAAATAACATTGAAAACGTTCACAAAAATAAATTTAAATAACTTGTTCACCGGGTTTTCCATGGGCTCGTTGCACCACTCTCCATCTTTTCCATCATCTAGGCTCAAGGTAGAATCATATCAATATGTAGAGAATTGATTAAACCCGTAAGTTAAAAAAACTTAATAGATGTGCATTTGTGATCAAGCTATACATTTCAAAGTTGTAATTTTAGAAACCTTTTCATAGTAGGATTTCTGGTAGAATCACAAACACGTAGAGTCATGACTTAACACGAAGCCTCGACCGGAAGTACATGTCGTACCCGGAGGTACCATTAGACATGGAGGTATATGACGTATCGGAAGTACCATTAGACATACAAACATTAACATAAATCTTCATTTGTTAGAAACTTATAACTTAACACGAATTAACACTTTGCACCTCTACCTACCTTGATTGATGCTTTGAACCTTGTTGAAAAATGCACTCCTTTGATGTTTCAAAAAAAACACTCCGTTGAGAATTGATATTTGGAAAACACTTCTTGATAGTACCAAAACTTCTAGGAAAAACTAAGTTTCCTCCCTCTCCTTTCTCTTTTTTCTAGACTTGAAAACTCTCTCTTTTATGCTTAGAAGCTTTTGTCTTGGTGTGAAAAATGTGTATGCATTGGGGCCTATTTATAGGTGAAAATTTCACAATTTAAGGGCAAGTGAAGGGCCTAATACTCATTAATACGGGTGCCATTTATGTGGGAGTTATAGGTTTAAGAAGGTGCTAAAAAATCGTGTAAGAATTTGACTTTTCATATTTCGCGTACTTCGGTTGATACTGTACAGCCTTTAATATTTCTATCATAACTTTTTCTCCCGATATTTGATTAAGGTAATTCAAAGTGCATTGGAAAGCTAACTCAAAGAGTTACAACTTTTCTTTAAATATCAATTTTCAAATCGAATGTTTTCTATGTCGTAAATGGGTCTCAAATGAGACTAAAAATCTGAAGTATACTTTAGCCATCCAATATTCATGTCTTAGTACCACTAAGGTGTTTAAAAGTATTTGGGGTTCCACAGTTATTGTGTGGGCGTGGGGCTATTAGACAATGTTTAAAGATATGAAAAGTTTGCTTGTCTTTTCTAGTTTTAAATGAAAATTTACGAAAGAATAAAAAGCTAAACTTGGTTCCAAACTAATTAACTTTTTTGATATAAAATGAAGGAGAATTTCAACTTTCATGCTTAAAACATTTTAGTTAAATGAAATTATTTGCAAAGTACTAAAAATATATTTGAAAAATATTGTAAAAATCGAATTCTTTATTACATTTATGATTTAATCCATATCCGGTGGGGTTTAAAATCAAATTTTTAGTAAATTTTAATAAAAATTAATGAATCGTATGATTGAAAAGTTATGAATTTCATGAAATTTATGGTTAAAATTTTAACTTTAATTTAAATTAAATTTTGAATTTTCATCTCCACCGAACATGGACTTAAATTATAAATTCTCGTAAATTCTTCCTATCATTTACATGGTGTTACTATTTAAGTGGAAGGGTATTATAAAAAAAATGATAAAAAAAAAGGGATATAAACAGCACTAAATTGGATGGACTCAATGACTCATTCATGGACTATTCGTTGGTATCATTTTTACAACCTTGCTATAGGTACAAGGATTTAAATCCTTGTACCTATCGAACACTCACATTCAAAGATGAGAAATTTTTTTTTTAATATTTTATACACGGATTCACTCTTATGTGAGTGAGAATTCAAAAATCTGGCAAAAAATCCCTATACTTTAAAGAATTTTTGTCATTTTTATGGATTAGCATTCCATCTATATTAAAATAAAATTAATTCCACTTTCCCACATCCCAAAGACCTAAATGGTAAAATTGCCAGTTGGCTCCCACAAATTAGCCATTTGACCGTTAGACTCCATTCTCTCATATACTCCTAATTCTGAACATTTGGGACTGCAGAGCAGCACCATGCTCGATCTGAGAAGCATAGAAACCCTAGAAAATGTCAATACCAAAGAGAATGACAATGGTACAAACCAGAAGATTTCGGAATATGAACGGTCTAGAGAACAGAGGATCAAAGAGAATCTTCAGAGAATGCAAAATCTTGGGATTCTCGATCTCTCTCTAAAAGTGAAGTCCCTTAAGCCCACTCCCAAAATCACCAAACATCGCAAAATCCCTCAAACTCAAAGTCCCTCTCCTTTGCCTCCTTCCGGCCCCGTCCGCCGATCATCCAGGTAATATGTTATTACAATGCCGGTACTTCTTTCTCTATCTGTCACTGTTTGCGTACGAGTTTATTGTGAACTATGAAGTGTTGTTCTATTTTTTTTTTCTTTTTTTGGGTTTTATATATTCTTTTGAAATAACATTTCATGGGTTCCTCTCACCATTTATGTATGAAACTATGATTATGTTGAAGTGTCTTAATGGGTTTTAGGTATACTTTTGAACTAGTGCTTCATGGGTTCCTCTCTTCCGTTTGTGTATGGTTGGTGAAAAGAATAATGCTATTTTTTATTACGATGATGGAAAATATGTGATGTTTATCACGATGGAGCATCGGTGATGTGGTAGTCGATGACGAATAATGGGGGGAGACATGGTCTCATGAGAGAAAAATGTGAGGGACAATGGATTATCACGTTATCGATTTTCCATCATCAAGATGATAAATAGCATTACTCGGGTGAAAATGTATGAGTTTTGTGGTTTCATTAAATGTTAATCACTATTTGTAGTCTCCTGGTTATGATTCTTTTTTGTATCTTTTTGTCCAGTGAAAGTAGAAAGGTCACGTGATTTCAATGGATGTTGAATTTTTATATTGATGGATAATAATGACATATTTTCTCCTTATTCAAGGAGAAGGTGAAATCTAGAAAAATTCAAGATGAAAAATGACTTCTTCAAGTTTGTTTTAAAAATCAAAGTAGTTTCTTTTCTAACTTAAATATAAGAAAAATATAAAGATAGACATTCAGTCTCAGTGATCCCTTTTCTCGACCTTGGTTGAGTTGATGATTCAAACTTTTTAGGTTCTTTTTTCTTCCTCCTCTCTTTTGCATACAGAACTCATAAGTTGAACTTCAAAATCAAATTTTAACATCCAGCTACTACTACAATTATTTAGTCCAAATTACTACTACACATGGATTCCTTCCAAGTACGGTTACATATGAATGTAAAGAACTGCAAAGTGAATTAGAGAAATTTTCAATCTTAAAATACAGGAATATTTGAATTGTGAAACCGAATAAATAATGAAGACATTCGATAGATAACTGTAAAAAAAGGGGTATTTTCCATGTTCACGTTGTGTCTTACGAATATTGGCTTTACACATGATTTGTTTGTATTCCTCCGCCATGATTAAAAGCTATGGGACTTTGAGACCTCCACGAGTATTTAAGCTTGTATGCGTATGGTTTTTAGTTACTACAAATGAGTTTCACTACTAATACTTGCTTTTCCTTTCATTATTTATTCAATAGGCTGCAGAATGCAACCCCAGTTACCTACTCTGAAGTGCGTTTGACAAAGAAAGACAAATCTCTGGAACTTGAGGATGAGTTGCTTAGAGAACAGGGAGCAAAGCCTGAGATTTATACTGAGGAACATGAGAAGTTGCTGGGAAACACTGAAAAGAGTTGGACATTTTTTGTAGATGGATATGGAAAAGACGGGAAGCGAATTTATGATCCGGTCAGAGGGAAGACTTGTCATCAATGCAGGTAGGAAATTAATTTTTCGAATTATTTAGGTAGTTTATCTATTACTACTTGCTTGAAGTGCCCTTCTTCTCTATTCGTTAGTTTTTGTTACCCCCATGTAAAGGTGTACAAATTTGTCTGGCCACCCAAGCACTTCCAGTGCCCTGCACAGCTAGGTCCGGAATGGGCGCTGATGTGAATTGGTCGTCCCTCCAGACAGACACATAAGACTGTGGTGCGTGAGCTGTGATCAGCAGCCTGCCGGGCCATTTATAAAAAAAGTAAAGGGAGTTGCGTGTTCCACTTTCCCCCGCATGTTGATGTGTTTGGATCTACATAATAGTGTAATATTTTGTTTTTTAGATTCTGTGTAGAATTAGGGCTTTAGAATTGAAATTAGGTACATCCAAAATGGATACCCCCTTGAAATTTCATTTTATAGAGCTCCTTAAAAGGAATACAGTCACGGATTTGATTATTTGTTCTATTGCCAATTTTCTCACTAGATTGCAAAGTATGGTGCTATTACAAATACTGTCATATTTGATGCAAAACATTGCATGTGATTAAGTTTTTGAAACAGAATGATATGTTTACACATTTTTGCACACAATTAACCTGTTCTCCGGAGACAGTTCATGCTCCTAAGATTTGATCAAAAGTATGTCAAGTTGATTCTTTCCGTTTCTTATTCGAGTAAAAGGAGCATTTCTTGTTGACTCATAAATCTGAAGGCACTTGGTTTATGGTTCTATTTCTTCATGTTTTTCTTTGCTTTTCTTTATCCCAAAAATAAAAATAAAAATAAAAATTTCCGTTTTTCTTTGCATTTCATTTTTTAACACCTCTCTCTATATGTTGTGTACTTGTTTTAACTTGCATGGTGTTATGTTATATCCACGCATACCATCTTTAGTTCGGTACAATGTACTTAGATTTTTTTATGCATATTTACAGCATGTATGGGAAGTGATCAAAATACATACTTTTAATCCCCCACAATACTACTCACTTATTATGCACACATTTTGTAGGACCCACAACTTATAATCACTTAAATTTTAATTTATTCACTTACGAGACATGCACTTAATAAGTATGCACACTATTTTGCAGGCAGAAAACTCTTGGCTATCGTACACACTGCAGCCAATGCAACATGGTTCAAGGACAGTTTTGTGGAGATTGTTTATATATGAGGTATAACATGGCAAAACCAAATTATTGGTCCATTAACATATGTAAAATACTTTGTTATGCTATCTGTATTGCTAACCCCATTCAGTGTGATTAGCATATTGGTGATGGGGAAACCACGAGTTTATTTTCACAGACTTGTCTTTGTTACGCTAATTCTTTACAATTTACCTTCAATAACAAAGGATCTACTATCCTTTCATAGATTAGCATAGTTATTGATGGTCCAAGGACAGTTTTGTGGAGATACAATTTTGTATAACACACCAACACCAAATTCTTGGGCCATTAACATATGTAAAATACTCTGTTATGCTGCCCATATTGCTAACCTTTTCAGCATGATTAGCACATAGATGGTGGGGAAACCACAGTTTATTTTCATAGTTTTGTCTTATATTATGCTAATTCTTTACAATTTACCTTCAAAAACAAAGGATCTACTGTCCTTTTATGCTCTGGTACTTTTTTACGTAAGGTTAAACTAATTCTCTCTTCTAATTGATTGGTATGTGTTATCATATTGCCTTGACCTTTTTATTTATTTCCCTACTGTGATGATGTGTAGATTATAGTCTAAAGTTCAAGTCTACCTAACCATCTTTTACAGATACGGGGAGCATGTGCTTGAAACACTGGAAAATCCAAACTGGATTTGCCCTGTTTGTCGTGGCATTTGCAACTGCAGTTTGTGCCGGCAAGCAAAAGGGTGGCCTCCTACTGGGACACTTTACAGAAAGGTAAATCTAGCAGCTACTTTTTGGACGGTCCTTTTTCTCTCCTTACAAATTGCAATGAAAAGCTGAACTTCGACTATCTTTTTGTTCTAGATTTCAAGTCTTGGTTATAAGTCAGTGGCACATTATCTTATTCAAACTCAACGCTCAAAAACACAGTCGGATGAGAATGTGGGCACTAATGTTCCAGTTTCTGCCAAGAGATCACTCCCCTTTGCTGATACCGAAGCAACACTAGCAGAGGATGATCTTTCTAAGTTTGATGGTGGATGTCAAGGGATCAATCCTCAGAGTGAAGAAAATAGAACAGATGTTATACCAAATGATGAAAAAGTGGAGGTAACATACTCGAATACCGAACAGGGTGAGACTAAAGGGGCAGCACAAGTTGACAGGGAACATGATGAAAGTAATATGAAACCGAAAATTCTGGAATCACTGAGCAGCTCTCTTTACAAGTCCAACAATATGAATATAGATGTATTTATACTAGAGCCCGAAAATCACAAGAAAGAGGAAATCTACATCGTGGACAATGAGGATTTTCTTGCCCCAGAGCATGATCAGAGTAATATGAAACTGAAAAACCCCAACTCACTGAGCGATTCTCCCTTTCCCAGCTCTAACAGTAATGTGTCAATGTCTGAACCTGAAAAACTCAAGAAAGGGGATATCACATGCATGGCGGACAACAATAGTTTTCTTGCTGTGGAAACAAGTTCAAAATCTAGAAAGAAGCGTGCTTGCACCACTGAACTAGCATCTGATAGTGTTGCTGGTAGGTTGAGGCAGAGGCGTATGATGAAAAATGCAAATGAGCTTGGGTTTGACCAGATGGTGACGATGCCATGAGACCGAAAATGCCATGTAGGGCATGAAATTGGAGATGCTTCCCTTCATGTAAGAATCTGGCTTTTGATAAACTAGTATACATGATTCTTCTGTAGTTAAAAGAGGCATCTACCGAGGTAATTTAAGTTCTTGTTTTGCTGTCAATGCAAGTACATTGGGCATGTTACTTAAAATTATTTTGATGTTGCAGCACTGAATGTTCCTGTTTAGATTTATTAGAGCATGTTTGGTTGGCTGAGCTTAAAACTTACTTTAGAAAATAAGTTTTCTAGTAAGGCTGTCAACTGTGTTCTTTATATTTGCACGCACAAACAAGGGAACTTTTGAAAATGTTAGCCCCCGTTTGGTCCCTATTTCTTAAAGTTCATTTCTTTTTGCAAACTCATTTTCAATTACATTTCATGAGTCTCACAATTTTCATCAACTTTGTAGTCACTCATTTCACCAAGTTTTATTCATATTTATTAAAAATCAAATTTTTATCTAAACCAAGGCATAATTCTAGTGCAGAATTTGGGCTCAGCACCCAATGCTTAAAGAGTTTTTTATTAGGAAAATTACCTAGAATCCTTCTTTTCATTAAAGTGGGTGGGTGACAATGATCAGGTGGTAAATACAATGTTTGTAAAACGGGATCGGATTAGCCAATTCAACCGGTAAGATCGAGAACCGGACCAAAATGTGGTCCGATTATACTAAATTAACCGATTATTTAATAACCGGTCAAATAACCGGAAAATCAGTCAAATAAACCAAAAATCGGGAACCGGTTACGGTTTTGGATTGGTTTTCACAACTTTTTTTTGTATATATATATAAAAATTTATATAATAAAAAGGTTACCTTAAAGATGAAAATAAATATACTCACTTCTTCTTCACTTATGGAGCTCTTTTATAATCATTTATTGAATTCCATAATTGATAAACTTTCAATATGGGATTGACAAAATTTAATAAAACACACTTTCAATACACTTTCAGTGTGGATTCACAAACTTCAATAAAGTACGATTTTTCAATATTATTTATGGCCACATGGTGAATGATTATACAATTAAATTACTCAATTTCTATAAATTGCTAAACATTTTTTTAGTCTTACAAATTATTTAGTAAAATTGAAATGAGTTTTTAAGTGATCTAAAAAATAAAAACTATTAAAATTTATATTAAAAACATATATTTGACATATTAGTATTTACTTTGAACTGATGGTGTAAAAATGTAAATATATATTGTTGTGAAAATAAAATTTAAATGTTGATAAATATTTATTTATCACTTCCAGTTTGATCCCGGTTGAACTTTTCGACCCTCGATCCTTTTTGTTTATCGGGTCGATGCCCAAGCCGGGTTTTAAAACATTGGGTAAATACTTATTTTTAAATTAATTATAACAAATTAATTACACCTACACCCCCCATCACCCCCAATTGCTTATTTTACACCCCAAACCCTGATTCATTACTAACTTACACGGTCTCTCTCTTCCCCAAAAATCATATGGTCACTCTCTTACCTAAAAATCAGGTCGATGACTTTTTCTACATCCCACCCTCTAGATTCTAGCCACTTACTGCTTTTCTCGTCGGAGTTTCTCAAAACTGGTTGCCTACTGCATCGACGATTGCAATCACTTGCAGCGGTTTGATGGCTTCGTCCCCACCTACCCTTTAGATTTCGGCCACTTGTTGCTTCTCTCGTTGGAGTTTTACAAGATCGATCAACTATTGCATCGGTGGCTACAGTCGTTCGCAAAGGCGTTGCGAGCAATGATCACGACCACTGCTTGTAGCGGTTGCAATTATCGTAGATTTCAGCTAGTGCGCATCACCGCAAGCTCACTATAGCGGAGTTGAGGTGCTGCAGCGTCACTTGTGGATTTGAAATTTCCTCTAATGTTGCATATCATATTGGCAATCCATCGCCTGTGGAGGTTCCTGTGGCATTGCAATCACTAACGGAGGTTTTTTTTGGTGATTATGGGGCGATTTTCCATGGTTTTTGTGGTGATTTTGCAGCATGTTTTGTTATGATTTTTGAGGTGCTGGTCATGGTAGTGTACTGTGGTGGCGAAAACAGGTTTATGGATTTTTTGGTAGGGGGTAGTGGTGGTGGTGGTGATCGAGATAGAGGAGATTAGGCCTAGACATCGAGTGGGTCGGTCCGGGTATTTCAATACCCAAAACCACCCATTACGCTTCGGGTATTTCACAAATAGAACCATTCGGATCTTTGTAAATATTAGGAACCAAATCCAAACCCGAACTATTGGTTCCGGTTCGATTTCGAATCTACCCATAGCATTTTATATACATTTATTTAATAAATTATTTACATAGACATTTTTGGTACATATACATAATACGCTACTACTCGAAAGTATTTTTGCAATGAAGAAAATTCAGTTAAAATTTTTCAAGGAGCAAAATATTGAATACTAAAAGCTACAAAAAATGGGAGAAAATAAAATAAAGATAAGAAATGAAATTATAACTTGAAAAAAAATTTATTTTTCTTAATAAATCTTATTCGATCTATAAGAGAAGCGTGCACTAAATTTAATGCACAAAATAATTCTTGTTGATAGATACATAACTAATTAAAACGAGCTGATATAAAAAAAATACTAATTAAATACATAACTAATATAATATCAAAAAAATTATGGTCCACATATTGAACTCGTTCTGTTTGAATAAAATATATATATATATATATATATATATTTAAAAAGAGAATCACAAACTCAAGATAATAAAAAGGTACAACGTAGCGCAAGCAATGTATATATCAAATTCAATTACCATGCGTTATGAAAAATTAAAAAAAAAATCACTTAAGTTTATTAACAATACAAGAAAGTAAAAAAACTTGAATTGCAAAAAATAAACGCTTTGATTCATCAACTTATAACACAGCCTGTTTGGAATTTTTGATTTGTAAAAAACTCAAATTATAAACATTAACACATAATAACCTCTGAAACACAACAATTTGATGTGAGGTGAGATGTAAAAAAGTAGGAGCCTATCTTATTTTTAGGGTTAGAGTTTAGTTTTAGACTAAGTACTATCAAAATTAGGATTTTTAGGATTTATAAATTTTTCAGCCTATAAATTGAAAATTAATTTTTTTTTTTTATAAAAATCGGTTCCACTCGAGTACCCCACGGTTCTGGTTGAAGAACTAAGAATCCAATCGAACCCAGTCGGTTATCGATTTCGATTTCTAATTTATTTTTCGAGAAATTGGACCGGAATCGAGTGGGAGATTTAGTTCCGATTAAAATACCCAGGCCTAGAAGATATGCTAGTGGTGCGTTGTAGGTGTGTTGTGCAGTGGTGGTGCGGTAGTTTTGTGGCTATAGTGGTGGAGGTGCGATAATTTTCTAATCCGCGGTTCGTTGGTGGTGGTGTGGTGTAGGCTGTGATGGTTCTATGACTGGTTGTGACTTGAGATTGACCTGGTCACAAATAGTCACAATGAATAAATTTTGGTCACAATTAGTTGTACCGACGACAAAGTTGGTTATGGTTAATCATAGGTTTGCGGTATCTGCAGATTTGTTTGTGGTGACTTTATGCGATTAAGTATGTGTATGTGGTGATTGTTTGTGACCAATTTTGTTTTAATTGTGGTCGGTTGTGACTTGAGATTGACCTGATCACAGATAATCGCACTGAATACAAATTTGGTCACAGTTATTCACACCAAAGAAAAGTTGTTCAGGATTAATCATAGATAATATAGGTCAATGAGTTTGTAACATGTAGTCATAAATTAGACGGTTACATACAGTCACACTGAAAATAAATTTGATTACAAATAGTCATATATGACACATGTATGATCACAGATAACGCAGTTGCAATCTGATCAACTACTATTATACACTATTACGACCACCACAATTTTTGGGAATTTTTTCTACAGTGGAGTATAGAAAGAGAAATTGTTTTCAATTTTAGGAGATTTTTTCTATCAGCGAACCGGAGCGATCGTCAAAGCAGGTATCGGAGTGGTCATTGGAACAGTTTGCCAAAGAGATCATCGAACAGTCGCTAGAAAGGGCATTGGAGTGATAGCCGGAACAATCGTAGGAGTGGCCATCATGGTGATCATCGAAACAGCCGTCGGAGCTGGTGGCTGTCTTCGGTGGAGAGGTGGAGGAAAGGTGACGTAGTGGGGTGGTAGGATGTGATGGGTGAGGTGGCATGAGTGAAAATAATTAACGTATATTATATTATACTTTAATAAATTTATTTATCACCTGATTTTTGAATTATTTTAATGAGTTTGTTGTTTAAGAAATGTGATTTTCAAAACTAGATCCCTTTTTTATTGTATTAAGGGCCTATTGGATTCTCACAGCCCAGTTTATGTGAACATCCCATATTTTGCATCAGCTTTCTTGTTATGAAGATCTGCTTTGCATCTTCGAAGTAAAAATAGTGAAAAGGAAAGTTGTTCCGTGTAGGGAAAATAAAGTAATAAAGACAGCACTTTTCTATATAATTCGAAAATGAAGTTAGTTCAAATTTAAACTCCAATAAAGTATAGTGTTAGTGCTTTAAAGAACATTTATTTACTCACGTAATCCCCATAAGATATGTTTGATATAAAGTGATTACGTTAAAAATAAGGTATAGGAGTAGACGAATGTCTTCAAGTTCAAATTTCACTAGTATTAATTTATAAAACAATTGCAGAGACTTCTATAGTATAATGAATTTGATCTACATGTAAGATAGTATGTTAAAGATAATAAATTAAATTTTCAGATAGAATTATTTAAAAAGTTAACTAGGATATGTTATCCAGTGTTTGACTAACTTATAGTTTATCGTAATCCTAAAGGAGTACTATTTGTTGAAAAGGAAAAGCATTTGGTCACTTTGTGAATAGCTTTATCATAATGGAAATGGACATAGCTAGAAAATCATTATCCATTTTACATTATTACATGTCGATCAAGAATTAGAATATTAAAAAATGTTGTTACACATAGAATTGTATTCGAGAAGAATTCAATGAACATATTTATCAAGACTTTACTACAAGTCTAGAAGATAATGTTAAAAGGAATTGAATAGATTTTTATATGTGACAACATGCTGTTTCTATTTGATTTAGATAAAAATTAAAATTTTAATAGAATTTGATAAAAATTGGTAGAATGTACAATTGAAAAGTTGTGATTATCATGAAATACATAATTAATATTAATTATTAACTTTAATTTAAATTTTAATAAACTTTTTTAGTTTAACCAAACAAGGACGCTATCTCATATACTTGTTGGATTCACTTGAAGTATGACAATTGAACAGTATTTATTGAAAGATGATAACGAGATTAGACATCAACTTGGTATTGCTCTGATAACTAGTCATTTCAACTTATGATTTGAATACTTGAAAAGACATGTCACATTTTATTTATTTAAATTTAAATTAACCTCATCTAAAATTTTTTGACTAATTGAGGAAAGAAGTTTAATCATTTGGATAACTAGGTTGTTTGGACACTTTGCTAAGAACCAATAAAGGAATGAGGTTTCGACTTTCAATTTAATAAATATACTCATAGTGAATACTGAATATGAAACGATACCTTTCAGTTATTAAAAAAGGGGAACGGTAGCTGATATCTGGCTTAATTTATAAGTGCAAGAAACAAAAGGAATATCAATATTAGATTCTTTGTGAGTTTTTTGGAAGCATCAAATTGATGCTTTTTCTTGTACAAAAGATGCAAAGCCAAACATGATGGTGATTCAAATGAGATGTTTAAAATAAAGATTGAAACAATGTTATAACATCATGGGTGAAAACATTCTAAATCCTTGTTTGGTTTAAATAAAAATTAAAACGGTAGTAAATTTTAATAAAAGTTGATGAAAAATACATGTCCGTAAAATATGTGGTGGAAAATTAATTGGAGAAAATTATTTTAAAAAAAAAATGGGGCCAAACAGAGTTAGTTATTTTGAGAGAAGGGTAATTGGCACAAAACATCCACACCTTTCAAATTTATTGTGAAAAATGTCCATACCTTTAATTTTTTGACATTTTTACCTCTATTTCCATCTTTCTTTGCGCTAAACGTCCTTTTTACCATTTTTTGACTTAAAATGGCCAAAATACCTTCTATTTAAACAAAATAAAAAATTAAAAGAAAAAAAGTACAACTATAAGCCCAAACTTTCCATTTGTGCAAATCAGCTAAAATTTAAAATAATAATAATAATAATAATTCTTCCATACCTCACCCCCCCACTTCCATTCCACCGCCGATCACAAATCTTAAATTGCTTCGTTTGAATGGTGAATTACAACAATTGATTCACTACTTAGAGTCGTTACACTTTGAATTGTATTCTAGTTGGAGCAATTTGTTGATTGTTGATGTGGAGGAACACCAATTGAAATGGGATCGAAGGGTTTTGAGTTTTCTCCATTTTTTGAATGACATGTCCAGGCAAAATTGGAGAAGACCCATATGCTCATTGGATGCACCATGAGGAGTAGGTACTTGAGGTGGTGGTAACCACCAACGTTGGAAAATTCACCTGAAAACTACAAAATGGCTGTGTTCGAAGTTGCAGCCTGTTTGGTCTGATTGCGTGAATTAAATGACATTTGAGGACCGTGGACAGGGACGTCTTGGTGTGTATATTCGACTGGTATGTTAGGAATGGCATGAGTCTTATCGAAATAGGTGGTGCCGTCCCGTATTTGCATTTGCGAATTTAATATTTTGACTTGCAATTTCTACCAAATCTATTGGCATGGTAATTGGATATTGGGTGTTATATGTAGAGGAGAGTGAGGGTTGTCCGGTAGTATGGAGGTCCGATGGTTTCGACAATGGTAGGTCGAAGTTTTTTGGCTTCAAAGTAGTGGGCGATTATAAGTGGTTTAGTGACTTTTTTTTTTTTTTTTTTTTCAGTTTTGAGCTGATTTGCACATATGAAAAGTTGGGCCTATAGTTGCAAATTTTTTTATCCTTTTTTTTTCTTTAAGTAGAAGGGTATTTTTGTTATTTTACGTCAAAAATGGTAAAAATGACGTTTAGTGCAAAGAAATGTGAAAATATGGGCAAAAATGTCAAAAATGAAAGGTAAGGACGTTTTCCACTATAAGTTGGAAAGGTATGAATGTTTTGTGCCAATAAACCTTTGAGAGAAATATCATTACATTTTTATTTTATTTTTAAGCAAAAAGACTTTAAAATCCATTAAAGAGAAAATGTCTTCAAAAGTAATTATCAAGAGGGTGTTTTTTTTTTTTTTTTTAATACTTTGAAAAATATGGAGGGTTAAACATAAGTGCTTGTTTGGTTATAAGGTAGAGTCAAAAAGTATATACAAGTAATGGATTCTTAGTTTTATTTAAAATAATGTTTAACTAATTTGTAAAAAGTGTTCTAAAAGGCGAGCCAATGTGCCGCCTAAGCCAAGTGGTTTGGAACCCTATTTAGCGGCCAACGACCCGTGCCTGGACGTGATTGGGCACGCATTATTATTATTTTATTATTATTAATATTAATTTTTTCTTAAATTAAAACTTAAAAGTTGATATTTTCCTAGATTCAAAACAGTCATTTGGAGCCTTGAATAAAGGAAAACTTTTAAAAACTCCTAGTTATTTACTATTTAGTATTTACATTTGAAAATTATCTTTTTGTTGAAAATTTTGAGAAAATGTACAAAATTCTTATAAATCTATTTTAGATGTTGGGTAGGTATTATTTTTAATTATTAAATAATTTTTTGATTGATTAAAAATTAAAGTTATATTATAATAAGAAAATGTTTTTTAAGCTTTTTTACGTCTCTGTCTCGTCTAAACTCGCTAGCCTTTAGTACGAATCACCACGCATTACACATTTTAGAATACTGTTTGTAAATATTTAGAAGTACTACCAAACAAACACTAAGCCAATTTACTCATAAAGCATTAATGTAATTTTTTTGTAAAAATAAAAATAATAACAGTTGACATTCAAAATGACACATTTACAGGGACCAATGCACAACGACAGCATTGGAAAAGTTTGTGTTGGCATTAATTATGTCTGGCATTGTGTAACGGTCCATGTTTTGTATCAATGTCCCTATTAATTGTTTTTCGCTATGTTAGTTGAGCATACTATGTTCCATTTTTCATAATTTTTATTTGATTTTTAACCTATTTTTGCATCACACGCACACGAATATAACAATTTAAAATTACATGATTTTTACTAAATTAAGAGGTTCTGTCCAAAAATGTTGACAACAATAACAAAAAAATTACTCGAGACAAGTTATAACCAGAACTCGACCTAAATTGATGCAAACAAGTGCATCCAGATGACTTTCACGTTTTAAAATTGATATCTTACAATTCTAAAAATTATTATCACAAAAATATCTTGTTGTCCACATAGTGAACTAATCATATCGCATGACACATTTTAAAAATTCTATAGGCATTCTTCTGATAATTCAAATCGAAATATGTTGAATTTAGAAATGATAAACTAACACATAATTTCAAATATCCAACTTCCTAAGTGGTAGAAAAGCTTGATTTGAATAAACTTAATTTTTGTTTGGTAAATAATTAAATTATAAATTCATGTTGTCAAACTATCACTTTTTATTAATATATTCCGTGAAAATCAAGGTAATATCCAGTATTCACTCATCCATCATTTGTTTTCACTTTTTTATAATTTAAAACAACTTAAAAATCATTCCCAAAATGTTTAACCAAGTGAAAAAACATGTGATAAGACGATAATTAAAGTCAACAATCAATTGGATGTAACCAAAAAAAGTTAAAATTGTAGTCAATTTGATCTTTTTCTTTTCTTTTTCATCTTTTTGGTGACAGTTTAGGGTCTCGTGCCAAACTCCACCTATCCAGCAGGGAATCCTAAGTACACAAAGAGGGGAAAGAATTGGAAACCCAAGAATAATCAAAATATTGTTTTATTTAAATATTTAGTGTAGTAAAATGAAATGAATTATTTAATTTAATCTAGAGAAATTTTTTGTTTAATTGGGTTTGTTGGGACCATACGATCATATGCTTGTTCTGATAATTGGCCTAACCAGTAAAGTATTTGCTGGCAAATTGACCACTTGAGCATATTGGAATATTGTTTGTTATTCTGGATAGCATTATGCTAATGTGAAATTAATATCCATTAAGCATTTTATGCGAAATTAAGCACATTATGCCTTTGAATATGGAATAATGTCATCATGGGAATGTGCTCACAATGAGCAATATTACAATATTTTTGAAAAAAATAAACTATTTCGGCAAAACCATTTGTTCATTTTATCTTGATTTGAAACATTTCGAGTGAAAAATCATCTTGAGGGGTCGTTTAAAATTTAATTGATTTTTTAGAATCATCATAATGAGACTATTAAAATGGTTTTTAAGTGCGGCATGAAATATTTTTTCAAGTCTAGAATGATTTTATTTTACTAATATGCATGTATTTTGGCTAGCTTATTAAATATCAAAAAGCCATATCAAATGAATTTATTAGACAGTCAACTTTTAAAGCGTCTAAATATTTTCTCAACGGCATATGACTAGGCAAGAGTAAATAGGTTAATAACAATAATTGTCAACCAAAAATTAACTATAATAATCCAAAGGCAGAACAAATTATTGTTTCTTAACCAGAAATCAATTCATTTTCCCCTTATTTTTACCAAACATACAAAAAGTAGATTACAGTGGTTGGACTTTGAAGGGATTAACATAAACCAGCTTTTTACAAGCCAACTGATTGTTTGACTTTGAGCATCACAGTAAGAAGAAAGGTCTTCGAGTAATAGTGGGTCCGGCCTTGGCCATACACCACAAAGTTTTGTTTAATCAAGAATCCAATAAAATCTGATTCAAGATTTGATAAATAATAATAGAACAAATCAAAGCTTATTGGGGAGTGAAAGTCAATGTCATTTGCTTACTGTTTGTTTAATGCATAAAAGCAGGTTAGGTTTAGCGTGCCTGCTATACAATAAGCAATTTCCACTGCCAGATAAGAGTCAAAAGTGAGAGAGAGAGAGAGAGAGAGAGAGTTGTGGGGTAATGGTAATCAATAGGGGGTGTATGTTTTTGGGATACATAACTGAAGTAAATGTGCATTTGTTGTGGAGGGTTTGGCTTTAATTTGTTTGCAGAAAAGGCTGGGACACGAGAAAGGGGAAATATAGCTCTTTGAGTGGTCCTTCTTTTTGATCTACAGAGCCAAGAACTGTGAGCCAGAAGACTCGAATAATGGATTATTTGAACATCCCTGAGAATGAATATGGCCTTGTTTTTACTGTGAGCCGTGGCTCAGCCTTTAAATTGCTAGCTGAGTCATACCCTTTCCACACGAACAAAAAGTTGTTGACGATGTTTGATCATGAGAGCCAGTCGGTAAATTGGATGGCTCAAAGTGCTAGAGAGAAAGGTGCTAAGGTTCATAGTGCATGGTTTAAATGGCCTACTCTTAAGCTCTGTTCGACTGATCTGAGGAAGCAAATTTCGAACAAAAAAAGGAGGAAGAAGGATTCTGCAGCTGGTCTTTTTGTGTTTCCTGTCCAATCTAGAGTTACTGGTGCAAAGTACTCGTATCAGTGGATGGCCCTGGCTCAACAGAATAATTGGCATGTCTTGCTTGATGCAGGGGCATTGGGCCCTAAGGACATGGATTCCCTTGGATTATCTTTGTTTCGGCCAGATTTCATCATCACATCATTTTATAGGGTGTTTGGCTATGACCCCACTGGATTTGGATGTCTTCTAATCAAGAAATCTGTGATGGGAAGCCTACAGAATCAGTTGGGGCATGCTGGTTCTGGTATAGTGAAAATCACTCCTGTGTTTCCGCTGTACTTGAGTGATTCAATGGATAATTTCCCTGGATTTGGTGAAGACGAGGAAGTCAGTAGGAATGCTGAAGTTAAATCTGAAACTCGCCCACAATCTCAATTGCCTGCCTTTTCTGGTGCATTCACTTCTGCGCAGGTGAGGGATGTGTTTGAGACTGAGATGGAGCATGATAACAGTTCTGATAGGGATGGCGCTAGCACCATATTTGAAGAAACGGAGAGTATTTCCATAGGGGAGATGATGAAAAGCCCAGTATTTAGTGAAGATGAGTCGTCAGATAACTCACTATGGATTGAATTGGGTCAGAGTCCTTTGGGCTCAGAAAATGCTGGTCATTCAAGCAAACACAAGGTGGCCTCTTCCTCACCACCGGTTTGGTTCTCCACTCGGAAAAATAACAGGAGGACTTCTCCAAAAGCACCTAATATATCAAGCAGCCCGACATATGACATGGAATTGAACCAAGGGCATCTTGAAAATGGCCATGTATTATCATTTGATGCTGCTGTTCGATCAGTCTCTCAAGATTTGGACCATTTCAAGGAGATTCCTGAAGAGGAACAATTTTCCGCAAGAGACTCTGAATGTAAGACTCCAAATAACCAACCTTTTCAGGAAATTGAAGAACCCGAAACTAATAAATCAATGGGTTCTGCCAACAAGGGATCAGGCCACAACAACATGAATCATCGAAGCATACAGAATGGCTCAGCTTCTGAGATATGCTCTGAGACGAAGGAGAGTGCAATAAGAAGAGAGACAGAAGGGGAATTCAGACTACTAGAAAGGAGAGAAAGAAATAGAATTGCTGGTGGCAGATTTTTTGGAATAGAAGAGACTGAGCAACTGGGAAGTAGAGGCAGAAGGGTATCCTTTAGTACAGAAGATAATCGCAAAACTCGTCTGGGCCAAGCTGTTGAGGCAGGAGAATTATCAGCCACTAGCCTGGATGATGAAGATTACATTAGCGATGGGGAATATGATGATGATGGGCAAGACTCCGACAGAAATGAACCCGAGATTATTTGTAGGCATCTTGATCACATAAACATGTTAGGTCTCAACAAGACCACCTCCCGACTGAGGTTCCTCATCAATTGGCTTGTGACGTCTTTGTTGCAATTAAGATTGCCTGGTTCAAATGAAAAAGACAGTCCACCACTTGTTCATATTTATGGGCCAAAGGTTAAATATGAAAGAGGTGCAGCAGTTGCATTCAATTTGAGGGATAGGAACCGAGGTCTGATCAGTCCGGAAATTGTTCAGAAGCTGGCTGAGTCGCATGGTGTCTCTCTTGGTGTCGGAATCTTGAGTCACATACGCCTTCTTGATAGCTCCAAACAGCAACGTGGGTCTTTGAGTCTTGATGATACTACCCTTTGCAAGCCAATGGAGAACGGCAGACATGATGGTAAAAGTGAATTCATCAGAGTCGAGGTCGTTACTGCTTCTCTTAGCTTTTTGACTAATTTCGATGATGTCTATAACTTGTGGGCATTTGTGGCTAAATTTCTTGACCCGACTTTTGTGAAAGAGGGAGTCCTTCCACCTGTTGTAGAAGAGTTTGAATAACGAGGCTTAGAGCTGGTACTATTGCTTTTGTCCTCCATACCCATTTGTACAGTCAGATGATGCAGAGATGATTGCTAATCATGGGGAGAACTGGATCAAGCGCATGGATTGGAAAAGTTAAACTAGATTCTTTTTGCCCTCCACGCCCCCTTTTTGCTGCAAGTGGGTGAATTTGTTCATTCTTGTTTTTAATTGCTTGGATTTTCTCTTTTACCTTGTGAGGTTCTTGTAGAATTGGGTTTGAAAAATTTGTATCATTTCAGATAGTAATTACGAACTAGAACTGATGCGTCCTCCTTGCATTCTTAGGGAAAGTGCTTTCTGCTGTAAAAAAATGTGTTTTGCTTGTTTCGGGCTACATTTTGTCCTGTTCAATTTTCTCAAGTTTCTGCCAAAAATAAAAAATAAAAAAAAATCAGTAAATTATTGATCAGTAGAGGATAAAAGTCTGTTCCAAGCTGTGAGTTTTCTTTAACTTGTACTCAATAGATTCTTTGGCTGCCTAATTTTCCAGTAACTGTTTCAATCAGGTTCCAGTTCAGCCATCATGAATGAACCAGCATTGGCTTCTCTTCAATTTAAAGCCAAAAGAACATTATTTAGTCACATTTCAGTCACTCTCAGAAGACAACTGCCGACTGCCTAATATATAAGTCAAATCTGTTACTTTACCTACAATTTATTCCGCAATTCTCTTGCAACATATAAATTAAAGAAACAAAAAAGATATGTATCCCTAGTAGAATAACAAGAAAGGAACGTGAATCAACATGGTAACAAAATAAGTAGTGATTACGCATTCAAGTCTTCTTGTCATCCATTAATAAATTTTCTCATATTTTCATGTGAAAATGAAGAAGGCCAACATGTATCAGTGTTCGTTTTTAGGGTGGTGTGGTGTGGGGTGGGGGAGGTGAAGACAGTACCAGCCTTAGAACTGCTTAGGCTATTGGACCGGGGTTTAGTATCTACAACTTTAGTGGAGGCCTCCTTTAACCATTTGGTAAGTTATGGAAGACTCGAGCTGCAAACCATAACGCTTCTAGAGTGGCACATTTAGAATATAGAGGAATTGTGCATTAAGTAAATGCCTAACTTTAGGAGAATCTTACCAAATGAGATTGAAAAAGAACTTCCATCAATGGTTGGGGACAGTGGCTCATTGACAATTTTTAAACAAGAAAAACTTGAATATATAAAGTAAGATACAAGTGGCATCAAAATTAAGAGATATTAGTTTGGTAATGGCTTCAAATCATCTGAATGAAATATGAAATATATGTTGAATTTAATTGTAATCATACTAAGAATCAAGAATCACATAATTATAAATTGATAGTTTAAATTCATACCTACGGAAGCCGTAGTTGATATGAATAATAGCAGCTAGATCTTTCCCTCCTTATTTCTCACAAAGTATTAATCGTCAATGGGGTAAACTAATAAAACAATATGGAGACGAGAGGGGACCTAGCATTTATATAGGAAATTATTGAGCCTTCCCATTTACGACTGAAACTCTAAATGGGGTTTACATATATATTCGATCCATATACGTAAGATTACCACATCATATTAAATATAATCCATAATGTGTAAAAGGTCCAATTGATCACTTAATAAATTTGGCTTAATCACAGATATCATTATGAGTCATACATCTAACCCGTAAAATTTACAATCAAATGTGAAGCTCACATTTAAAATTTTTCCAACAATATCATGAATTCATGATCTGGACATGAATAAGGGAAACAACAGCCTCTGTTGATATTATGCACAAACCCACAAACCTGTTGAGCGAAAGAAAAGAAAGATAAAGCGGAAATTCAAGTGAATCATGGAGAAAATAAGAAAAATTTGTAATTCTCAAAATTTGTCTACAGAATCAGAACTATCCTCATTCAAATACCAATATACAAGTGAAAAGATACCTTGAATGGAGAATAACTTGGCAAAGGACAAGATTAATCTTTTTCAAGTCATCGATGCATTTTCATACGTAGCATAGTGATAAGTGGATTTTGTTCACTTATTTGTACTATATAACTAAACTTTTATGGTGTCGAATTATTAATTTTTACTTAACTTTGGTTAATTTTCTTTTGCTTTTTGTGACGGACTCGTTTGAAGCAATTGAAAACAGAAGAAGGACAAATTGGCCATTGGATGAAAGTTTGTAGACAATATCCCACACTTTGCAAATTGAAGGGCTTGTGTTGAACTAAAAAGGATATGAGTAGCACTATTAAATCAATTTGAGGACTCAAGTACCTTAATTCCATGAAGAGAAGCCTTGGAAAATAAATTACATTTAATTATGCATAAGACCAATTGGAATGGAATAGAAACTGGGCCTCATTATTTGAGAAGTCTGGCTGAGGGCTTAATTGAAAATATAAAACGACAGATTGAAATGGTGAAAAGAAAGAGAAGTCGGCCAACTGTGGGGGGTATATTGGTGGGCTGAAAAAGTTGACCTATAGACATATATAATTCCCACTGAAGCCGAGGCTGGGGGCAGAAGAGAATATAATAAATAGACAGGTAGAAAATCGACAGATTTGAAGAGGCTGCTTGCGGGACATTGGGCTGAATTGGAACCTTATTTACAGAAAACTGAAGCAGTTGAATTGCATCATATATACACACACAGAAAACATATTGGGAGGCTGGAATTGGAACACAAAAGTGGGCAGCTGAGCAGATTATTATATACATACAAGAATCCGAGACTTAAACGGTTCGCATGGATGGAGAGGCAGCAAGCTGTTGAAGGAAAATTCTAGATTGCTTTCGAAGGAATTTGGACGTCGATCATGTTTCGTCAATTTTTGGTGACTTCGTTCCCCTTTTATTCGTTTTATTCCACCGTCATGTTAGGCTAGAGTTTTTTTTTGCTGGGATTTGCGATGAACCTTATATCATGAACTTTTAATCTTGAATTTTATTTATTTTGACGTCAAAACACGCTTTTAATTATTGAATGATTGATATAGATTTTATTTTCTCTACGATTATATGCGCGATAGTTGTATGAGTTTTGTGTCTTGTTTTTACCTTCGAGAGATGGAAAATAAGTTAGACATTATTTTAATTATCGTAAAGTCCGATATGGGATAAAAATGTACCGCTATGCTTTACGTAATCTTTAAGTATTCATAAATTTTTAATGCATTTTTATATATTCGTATCTGTCATAGAAATATAGTCGGGTCACATATAAAAATAGGTTTAATTCTACTCGAGAGAAAGTATTAAACAAATTAAGAATATTGGTCTTCATAATAGAATCGTGTTATCGATTTTAGAAATTTTAGGTTAAAGGGGATTGATATAAGGAGATTCGGGATCCTAATACACATTTCTTTATCATATTTTTATAAAACTTGCATTTAGTTATAATCATGCATTTAGTTTAGTTAACTTAGGCTTTATATTTATACGTAGATTATTAAATCATAATTTAGTTAGAAAAAAATCACGAATTTCTATTGTTTCGGTTAAGGTTAAGATAATTTAAAGTTAAACTAATACAATCTTTATGAGACGATATTTGGACTCAAAATGTCCATTTTATTACTTGAACGCGACCCTGCACTTGTGGTGTAGGATTTTAGCAAACAAATTTTTGGCGTTGTTACCGAGGATTGTATTTTAGTTTAATTTCATTTATCTTGACACTAATTCAAACTTTTTATTTATTTATTTATTTATTTATTTATTTTACAGTTATTTTAGAACTTTTATTTTCTCTTGCAAACATTTTATGCAAAATTCAAGGACGTTGAACTGATACCAACTGATCCAGAAATCGAATGTACTTTTGGCAAAGAGAAGCAAAAGAAATAAAACAATAAGAGATGGCCAACGGACAAAATAATCCAATTATTCAAGTAAACAAAGAAGCAGTGGTTGATGAAGGGAACATTCTAGTTGGGGATTTCATGACTCCACAAATTATTCAGAGCTAATCTAGCATCGTTTATCCTCCGTTTTAACAACCAAACTTTCAGCTGAAGATCAATGTCATTCATTTGTTCCAAAATGGACATCAATTTTATGATAGGGCCGATGAAAATCCGCATACACATGTCTTCCGATTTTTAGAAATGCGTCAACACTTTAAATATCAAGGGGTTTCAGATGATGCGATCAGATTGATATTATTTCCACATACTCTAAGGGATAGAGCTCTTGAATGGTTAGATTCACAGCCTATTGCTACTATCACTACTTGGAATGACTTGGCTCAAAAATTCTGCACCAAATTCTTCCCATCGGAGAAGATTGCGAAGTTGAAGCATGACATATCCATATTTCAGCAGAGAGAAACCGAATCCTTTGATGAAGCTTAGAATAGATTCAAGAACATGCTTCGGAAGTGCCCTCATCATGGCATCAATGAAGGGCTTGTCTACTTCTATTTTATAAAAGTATGGTGGACTCATCATCCAATGGCTCCTTATCCACGAAGACAATTGATGAAGCTTTGGAATTGTTTGAGAGAGTGGCTACTACCACAGCCATGTGAGCCTTTGAGTGTGTTGTTCACAAGAAAATACCGGAAGTTTATAAGGTCGATACGTATACAGCATTGTCTGCAAAAATTTACTCTTTGGTTCATAAGTTAGAGAGCATGTCACAGTCAACCAATGCAGAACAGGCCAAAAAAGTAAGTTGTGAAGAATGTGGGACAGATCATAGTACAATAAATTGTCCAATTCTCATACAAGGTACGGAACATGTTGACTATATACAAGGGGGCCAGCGCCAACAAAATAATCCATATTCTGACACCTATGACCCTAGTTGGAGGAAGCACCCGAATTTTTGTTGGAGCAATCAGAATCCCACTGCACCACATGGTTCTCAGTTTCAGCAAGCAATAAAGAAAACTTCTTTGGAAGAGATGTTTGGCAGATTCATGGAAAAGACAGATCAGTACATGGAGGCGAATAATCAATTTATGAGGAAGACTGAGACAACTCTCCAGAATCAAAGTGCTATAATTAAAAACATGGAGACTCAGATGGGACAGATGGCACAAGCTATATTAGGCAGAGCACTAGGTACATTACCAAGCAATACAGACGTTAATCCTAAAGAACACGTCGAAGCAATTACTACTAGAAGTGGGGTCCAATTAACTGAGTTCCATGTTAAGAGGACAGCTGCAAATAAGGAAAAAGTACCTTTTACTAATGAGGAGCATGCAGAATGGACTGAACAAATAACAAATACATCTATCAAAAAGAATTCAAATACATCGCGAGTTAAGGCAACTGCTCCTATTAAACCATACGAGCCGCCAATTCCATTTCCTCAAAGGCTACAAAGACACAAGTTAGACAAGCAGT